CACTTTGGGAGGTGGAGGCAAGAGGATTACCTGAGCTCAGGGGTTCGAGATCAGCCTGAGCAACATGGCAAGACCTTGTTTCTAAAATAAATCAGAAAATCAGCTGGGCGTGGTGGTGGACGCCTATAGTTCCAGCTCTTTGGAAAACTGAGGAGGAAGGATCACCTGAGCCCAGCAGGTCAAGGCTGCAGTGGTGGTGAGTGTGCCACTGCACTCCAGCCTGGGCGACAGAGTGAGACTCTGACTCAAAAAAAAAGTGTGTTATTACATGAACTATATCGACAGCAATGCCTGGTAAATGATAAACACTCAGTAAAGTCTGTCATTGACGTTAGTATCGTCATCCTCAAGGAGCTTGAATTTGAAGGCAAAGAGAGTAGTAGCTAAGTAGATGGGGACATGGGGTTATGGGGATGTCATTTTCCCTTTAAGATTTAAAGACATGGACTGGGTGTGGTGGCTCATGCCTGTAAGCCCAGCACTTTGGGAGAGAGACCTTGTAGGGAGGATTGCTTAAGCCCAGGAGTTCAAGACCATTCTAGGCAACATAGCAACCAAAAAACAGAGATTTAAAGACATGTCCTTTATGAATGCCTATTCTTTATCCTCTATTCATCGTCAATAATATGATATACAATGTGATTCCAGTTCTCCGCCCATATGTATAGTCCTGTGCTGAAGTGTCCTAATGTCTCGATGTTTCCCGAGCCCCCCAGACTTAATGTCGGCTTCCTCCATTCTCTAAACTCGGTAAATATTTCTGCAAATACTTCTTTCCTGCTTGTTTGTTTTTTAAGAGAAACACCCACATACACAATTCATTTAATTTCTTTTTTTCTTCCTGAGTTGCGGCATCACTCTGTCACCCAGGCTGGAGAACAGTGGCATGATCATGGCTCAACACAGCCTCGATCTCCAGGACTCAGGCAACCCTTCCACCACAGTCTCCTAGGTAGCTGGGACTACAGGTGCGCACCAGCACGCCTGGCTAATTTTTGTTGATTTATTGTAGAGACGAGATTGCCAAGTTTCCCAGGCTGGTCTCGAACGCCTGTGCTCAGCCAATCCTCTCACCTCTGCCTCCCAGAGTACTGGGATTAAAGGAGTGAGCCACCATGCCTGGCTCAAAATTGATTTTTAAACTTTTGTTACTCAGGCCTAAGCTGCCCTCTGTCCATCCACATCATAACATGTACTCCCTGGCAGGTGAAAGCTGCTACATTACAAAGGCATTTTAAACTAGATAAAAATCTAAGATATGATTCTGTAATTAGTAGTGCCAAGGAATCACAGTTCCTTGAAAAGTCACAGTCGTGCCACTGCACTCCAGTCTGGGCAACAGAGTGAGACCCTGTATCTTTTTTTTTTCCCCCCAAATTTTATTATAACGATATGGGGTACAAACGAGGGTTAGTTATATAAGTAGGCTTCATGCAGGTGAAGTTTGGGCTTCCAACTGGCCCTCAACTGTCTCTTAAAAAAAATTTTTGACAAGGTTTTAAGGCTTTGCGGTAAGTGTGATACATTGAAGAGGGGTATTTATGACCTAATTCCTGAAATAATTGGCGTAATCGCATTTTAAGGTACCACCCAATTTTCATGTACTAGATAATAAAGAAAGTTCTTTTTTTAATAGAAGCAAGTAGAAAAAATGGCTTGTATTATTTATACTTCTGTTCCCATGTTGACAATGTTTTTGAATTTGTTAATTTGGTTTTTATTTTAACAAAGTCATAAATGCACATAGCCTAGAGTCTAAGTACCACAAGGCCTATTGGGAAAACCACAGTTCCCAGCCACTGACTTATTTCTCATATTACCTGACAGGAAAGGAACCAGGAGAGGAAACACATGGACTTCTGTCTCCTCCTGCCCTCCATCCTTGTGTTGTTTGACCTCTTAGCACGATCAGAGGTAGAGGGCAAGGGAATCTGGATGACACAGTTCCTGAGAGCAGCCTGGGCCAGAGAAGAACAGAGTGGATCTGCAATGGCAAACAAAATATCCAGCCCCGTGGTTTGGATTTCCATGAGCAGTTTTTAGTTCGCTGCATGCTCTTTTTTTAATATAGCATCCTATTCCTGTATGGAAGATGCAGTTTCTCTTTTTATCTCTCTCAGAATTGCTTTCCTTCTTCCAGCATAGGCTCTGTTTTGTTTACTTCGCTTTCTTTCTATCTGTCTTGGTCTCCATCTTCCATATCAAGAAACTTTCATTGCACACCTGCTCATGTGCAACTGTGAGGCACTGAAGGTCAAATGGACGCTTTGTGCTTGTGGATGGGGCTCATCATCTCTAATTGTTACTGGAGATTGAGCCGGACAGGCGTTCCATTGGGAGCGCTCAACATTCGTCTCCTTCAGTCTTCTTTCTGAGCTGGTTGGGTGCCCCAAGGAATATTCTTCCTACATGTTTGAAGAAGAGATGCTTTGTTCCAGCCTTGGAGGAGCTAGGTTAGGGGACAAGACCAGAAGTCTCAGCGCTCTCTTTCGTGATCCCTACCACATGCCACTGTGCTCTTTCTGATAGCTACCCTCAGTCAGGCAATTCAGAGATGCTTCTGCTTCACTTTGCAGGAGTTGGAGACAGAATCCATTTGCAGTCAGTCCTGCCTTCTGCTGTTCCATCATTCTACTCCAAGACCAATATAAGATTCCTGCTCTTGACTTTTTCCATTACTGGTGTTAAGGTTCAGATTTCTTGAATATGCTAAATCATGTATCGCTCTGTCCCTGGCCACTTATTTTTGTCTGTCTCTGGTTCTTTTTGTCCTTGTGAGATAATGCCTTTACTTTAAAAAATGAATTTAGTTTATTGTAGAGACGAGGTCTTGCCAAATTGCCCAGGCTGGTCTCGGACCTCTGGGTTCAGGCAGTCCTTTTGCCTCCACCTCCAAAAGTGCTGAAATCACAAGCCTGAGCCACTGTGCCCAGCCTAGTTTTCTCTTTTATTTTATTTTCTTTCACCCATTATCTTTCTTTTCTTCCTATGTTAGAGGAATAATTATTCTTCCTTTCTAAAACTGAGCCTTCTGTACTGACTCAGAACAGTAGAAAGAGCACAGCATGTACAAAGAGACCTGAACACTTCAAAGAGCAAAACTGTTGGAAAAATCCAGATTTTCCTTTGTGGACAAGTGGGCTGTCGAGTTAGATGGGCTTGGTTTGAATGCCACTTCTGCCACTTGCTCCCTTAATGACCTTGAATTCACTTTTCTCCTGGTGCTTGGTTGTCCTTACCTATAAAGTAAGGAGAATGCCGGTCCCCTCTTAGGGTTTTCAGGCGATAACAAGTATGTGGTGAATGGTAGCTGGTCCTGTTGCTCTTATGCTGGCGTCAAACTCTGGCAATAACTCATCTTAGAATAAGTATTTGTTTATACTCATGTCCCTTGCATTAACTGTAAACATAAACTCCACAAGGTTAGGGACTGTGACCTCATCTTTGTATTTTAAACATCTGCTACATGCCCAACATATAGTAAATGTGGACTGGATGCGCCGGTGTATGCCTGTAATCCCAGCACTTTGGGAGGCCAAGGTGGGAGGATTGCTTGAGCGTAGAAGTTCGAGACTAGCCTGGGCAACATAGTGAGACATTGTTGCTACAAAATATAAGAAAATTAGCTTTGGTAGCACGCACCTGTTATACCAGCTACTCAGGAGGCTGACTCAGGAGGATCGCCCAAGAGTGAGTTAGAGGCTGCAGTGAGCTATGATCGTGCCATTACACTCCAGCTTGGGCAACAGAGTGAGACTCAGGCTCAAAAAAATAAAAAATAAAGTAAATGTGCATTGTGGGCTGAATGAATGGTGAAGGCTCAATTTAAATTGAACTGGTGAGGCTGAGGTGAGTGGATTGCCTGAGCCCACGGGTTCGAGACCTGCCTGGGCAGGCGAGACCTCGTCTCCACAATAAAATCAAAAAATCAGCCGGGTGTGGTAGCGCACGCCTGTAATTCCAGCTACTCGGAAGGCTGAGGTGGAAGGATCGCCGGAGCCCAGCAGGTCGAGGCTGCGGTGGCCGGGAGTGGCCACTGCACTCCAGTCTGGGCGACAGAGTGAGACTCCAACTCAAATAAATAAATAAATAAATAAATTGAACTGGTAAGTAAGTTCACTTTTTTTTTTTTTTTTTTAGTTTCCTGTGGATTATCAAAATCTTCCAAGGACTCAAAGATTTTAAGATCACATTGTTAGGAATTTGTTTTCTTCTGTTACACTGTTGACAAATGCTGGCTTTTAATATATCACTCTGGCATTATGGGGCAGGGGACAGCACAACAAAACCCAGAATTATTTTTTGGAGGGCAAGCCCCTTGTAATACACTTGGAATTTGTTTCTCCAGATCAAATGGTCAGCCAAAGTTTTTATCTGGAAATTTTGAGAAGACTACATCACAATTTGTGGAAGAAATGGCCCAAGTTGTGGCAAACAGGTGACTGTTTCTTCCACCATGACAATGCCCCTGCCCACACTGTGCTGAGTGTTCCGCAGTTTTGGGCTAAAAACGGCATGACCCCCGTGCCCTAACCTCCCTTCTTACCCGATCTCGTTCCCAGTAACTTTTTTTTTTGTTTCCCTGATGAAAAAAACCCTCAAAGAGAAACGTTTTGCCAATGTGGAAGAGGTGAAACAAAAAACGGCAGAAGCACGAAAAGGCATCAAAATTGACAAGTTCAAAAACTGTTTTGAACAATGGAACGAGCACCTCGATAGGTGTATTGCATCCAACGGAGAGAATATGGAGGATAACGGAAGTTTAAACATTAAGAATAAATATACAATTTTTTGTGTGTGAGAGAAAGCAAGATTTATTACGAGGACAGAAAAGCTCCCCCAGCGGGAGGGAACCTGAGGGGGTTGCCAAATACACAATTTTTTATAAATAAATCCGGCTTTTGGGGGGGCACCCCCTCGAAGACTTGCATGAAGGTGTGAGTGTGCTAACAACATGTCATTGATAATCGTTAATTAATCGACTCCTTTCTTTCCTCCAGGGAGGTGGTACAAGCAAACTGTGTGCACTGGAGAAAGAAGTTCTCGTTTATGTGCAAGATGAGTGCAAGTGCGGCCACCGGCGTCCTGGATCCTTGCATCTACAGAGTGTCTGTGAGGAAGGTACAAAAATAGCCTATCACCTCTCTGCTCCCGGAAACCAGAATTAGTCCCAAAGTCACTGACTTGCTTTTTTTTGAAATTTAATTGCTTACTGACTTTATTTAGCTCTGCTTTCCCTTGGTCATTAGAACTGTCAGAATGTATGCAATTTCATTTCCCACTTGCAGCAGTAATTAACATCACCATGGCCAGGCTCGGTGGCTCAGCCTGTAATCCCACGCTTTGGGAGGCTGAGGTGAGTGGATTCCCTGAGCCCGCGGGTTCGAGACCCGCCTGGGCAACTTGGTGAGACCTCATCTCTACAGTACGTTAAAAAAAAATTAACCAGGCATGGTAGTGTGTGCCTGTAGTTCCAGCTACTTGGAAGGCCGAGGCGGAAGGATCGCCAAAGCCCAGCAGGTCGAGGCTGTGGTGGCCGGGAGCATGCCACTGCACTTCAGTCTGGGCGACAGAGTGAGACTCCAACTCAAAAAATAAACAAACAAAAACATCACCATGGCAGATAAGATGAAGAAACTGAAGCTACAAATTAAAATATTATTCAAGAACCTTCATCTCTCTGCCACTATATACGTATAAGTATTAACCTTATCTGGTTTCATCTGAGAACTTTCTCTGTCTGTATCCACCATTCATTAAATTCCTGGTTTTTGTTAGGCATTGTTCTGGGAACTTTATATATAGTATGTCTAATAACAACCCTGACATTAGGTGTCATTTTCTTCGTTTTCAGGAAAACCAAGGCACAGAGAGGTTAAGTTACTTGCCCAGATTTACACAGCTTAATAAATGGCAAAGTAGGGACGTAAACATAGAGTTTTCTGATTCTAGGTCCATGTTTTCTTTTCTGTATATTTCCTTTCCAGGTATTGGGTTGAAGCATCTTGCCAATAGTCTACAAAAATGGCAATTTTATATGGTTCAGCTTAATATATAGATAAGGGTGTATATGTTTTGCACCTCATATGCTTTTTTTTTTAAGTCAGGTTCTCACTCTGTCACCTAGGCTGGAGTGCAGTGTCACGTTCATGGCTACCACACTCTCCACTTGCTGGGCTCAGGTGATCCTTCCACATCAGCCTTCCAAGTTGTTGGAACTACAGGCATGCACCACCATGCCTGGCTAATTTTTCGATTTACTATAGAGATGAGGTCTTGCCAAGTTACCCAGCCTGGTCTTGAACCCACGGGCTTAGGCAATCCACGCACCTCGGCCTCCCAAAATGTTGGGATTACAGGCTTACCCACCAAGCCTGCCCTAAAAATTTTTTTAAAAAGGACGTATGGTACAGTGAAATGGTATATGGTGTCATACAGACCTGGGCTTGAGTCCCAGAGATGCTACCCATTAACTGGGAGACCTTAGGCAATTCTGACTTTTTTGAATCTGTCTTTTCATTCAAATAAGGGTATATTACTGGCTTCGTCATGGAGTTGTAGGGATTAACTGACATATAAGTAAATCACCCTGCCTTCTTCTCTTTCTACCTTGACTGCTGCTACTCCTCCATGAAACCTTTTCTAAATGGAGTTCTCATCATGCTTTTCGAAAGATGACTTGTCACTCCTTGAATTTTAAGAAAAATAAAATAATAAAATAAAGTATAACTGCAAATTAAACTGCGGATCAAATTTTTAAAAGTCTACTCAAAGTAGGACTTGTTCATCTGAAATAAACCTGTTCCTCAGATGATGAGGTTTTGGTGTATTCATTAGGGCATATATGACAAACTGTTGAGACAGAGACCCACGGAGACAATGGCTTAACCAAGATGGAAGTGTATGTCTCTCCTGGGTAGCAGCTGAGGGACCCAGAGCAGCTCTGCCATCATCATCGGTTGTTGTCCGTCCATGGAAGCTGCTCCAGTCTTTTCTCTCAACCAGTGAGAAGGGACAAAAAGCCACATGAGAACAAATGCATTCCTTTCTAGGGTAAAAAGACTCAAAAGTGGTGCGTGTGACTTTTGCTCATGTACCACTAGTTAGAACTTAGCCACGTGGCCACACAAACATCAAGAAAGGTTGTGCCTGTGGTCTGCAATTGGGTGACCAGTAGGTTCTGAAGAGGAGAATGGATATTGAATGAATATTGATAAGCCTCTGACAGTCTCTACCATGCTTGGCTAGATGGAGGTATTCACTGAGCTTACTCTACCTTGTCCCTCTAAGTGTTATATAAAAGAAAAATTAGTAATTCAACTATATCAACATTTTCTGCATTATAAAATATACCATAAGCAAAGTTGTAAATTAGGGGGAAATATGTGCAAACCATATCAAAAGGAGTAATTTCCTTAGTATAGAAAGAGCATGTTCAAAAAAAATCAATTTAGGAAAGATCAGTAACCCTTTAGAAAAGTCGGCGCACATGTTTATTGCAGCATTATTTACAATAGCAAAAACATGGAACCAAGTGTGCTGCCCATCAAAAAAAGGACCGAATTTTAAAAATGTGGTATATATACACAATGGAATATTATGCAGCCATAAAGAAAGACAAACATACAGACTTCGCAGCAACTTGGATAGATTTAGAGTCGATCATACTCAGTGATCTATCACAGAAACAAAGAATAGAGTACCATATGTTCTCACTCATAAGCGGACCTTGAACAATTATAATACTATAAGAAAGGGATTGGCAGTGGTGGGAAACTGTCAGGGGAGGGAGGGTAGGATTGATAGTTGAGGGAAACTGCTAGGGGAGGGAGGGGCACACCTCATCAAGAAGGGTATCTGCATAATCAACGTTTGTATACTTAACCCTGAATTGTATCTCACATCTTTATAATAATAATTTTTTTAAAGTGGTGCATATACACGGTGGAATATTACACAGCCATAAAGAAGGACAACATTATGAACTTCACAGCAACTTGGATGGACTTAGAGTCTATAATGCTGACCGAGCTATCACAGAAACAAAGAGCTGAGTATCACATATTCTCACTCATAAGTGGACTTTGAACAACTATTGTAATACTATAAGAAGGGAGCCAGAGCCGGGCTCGGTGGCTCAGCCTATAATCCCGCGCCTTTGGGAGGCTGAGGTGAGTGGATTGCCTGAGCCGCAGGTTCGAGACCCGCCTGGGCAGCAAGACCTCATCTCTACAATAAATCAAAAAATCAGCCAGGCATGGTAGCATATGCCTGTAATTCCAGCTACTTGGAAGGCTGAGGCAGAAAGATGGCCGGAGCCCAGCAGGCGAGGCTGCGGTGGCCGGGAGCGGCCACTGCACTTCAGTCTGGGCGACTGAGTGAGACTCCAACTCAAAAAAAAAAAAAAAAAAACTATAAGAAAGGGATTGGCAGTAGTGGGAAACCTCCGGGGGTGGGGCACACCTCATCAACAAGGGTACCTGCATAATGCACATTTGTATAGCTAACCCTAAATTGTACCCCACATATTTAAAATACAAAATTTAAAATAGAATAAAAAGATAGAAACATTGGCAAGGGACAGAATACACATTGCACTAAAAAATAAAGTAGAAATAGCTTTTAAAATTATAGACTCAATCCCACTTCTACAAGAGCTTTTAAAATTATAGAGATAGACTCAATCCCACTTCTACAAATTAAAACTACAAACAAGATACCTTTTTTTTTTTTTTTTTGAGTTGGAGTCTCACTCTGTCACCCAGACTGAAGTGCAGTGGCTGCTCCCGGCCACCGCAGCCTCAACCTGCTGGGCTCCGGTGATCCTTCCGCCTCAGCCTTCCAAGTAACTGGAACTACAGGCATGTGCTACCATGCCTGGCTAATTTTTGATTTATTGTAGAGATGAGGTCTCGCCAAGTTGCCCAGGCGGGTCTTGAACTCGCGGGCTCAGGCAATCCACTCACTTCAGCCTCCCAAAGGCGCGGGATTACAGGCTGAGCCACTGAGCCCGGCTACCTTTTTTTTTTTTTTTAAACAAAGTTCTCTGTTACCTAGGACACAGGGAAGCAGTCATTCCCCAGTAATCAGTCACACATGTGAGTGCCTAACTGTTCCAAGTGCTATCCTGTGCCCAGGGAGGACAGTGGTGACCTGGAAGGAGTGCCTGCCCCCCTAAGGACTTTCCTTTCTGGTTGGAGTTAGGGGGGTTGGGGAGAAAGCTAGCAATAGGAAGGACAGACAGCAAGCATGTCCAAATAAGATTATCTGAGGTAGTGTTTTTAAATCGCAGAGGTGATGCAGAGAACAGTGTGGGGAAAGATTCTTTTAGAAAACTGGGGCAGGTGGCCAGGAAGACTTCTCTGGAAGGTCACATTTGATACCCATGTAAAGATCCAGGGAAAGATCATTCCAAAAGAGAAGGCCCTGAAACCAGAGAGACTCTATACTGATTTCCCACCGCTGCTATAACACAATACCACACTCTGGGCAGCTTGAAGCAATGCAAGTTTATGTTCTCAGTTCTGGAGGCCAGAAGACCAAAATCCAGTTGTCAGCAGGGCCATGCCCCCTCTGGAGGTGCTGGGGAAGAAACTGTTTCAGACCTCTCTTTTGGCTTCTAGTAGCCTCAGGCATCCCGTGACATGCAGATCCATTTCTTCACTCACATGTCTTCTTCTCCCTTCGTGTCTCCTTCTCATTGTTTCTCTCTGTGTATGTCTGTCTCTCTGTCTAAATTTTTCATTTTTATAAGGATACCAGTCACATACCAGCCATATGGGATTAGGATCTCATTTTACCTCGATACCTATGTAAAGATCTATTTCCAAATCAAGTAATGCCCTTAGGTACTTAAGGTAAACTCTTTTTTTTTTTTTTTTGTGGGGGAGTCAGGGGGAAATACAATTTGCCCATAACGGGCCCTAAATGGGGATTCGGCTTCTGAAATTAGCAGACTAACTTGTTGAAGACCACCCCTCCCTCTGAGAACAACCAGAAAAGCTAGACAAAATATCAGAAACAGCTGTTGAAGGCATCAGAAGCTACCAAGGTCTTGGGGACTTGAGAGGCTTCAGATCCGTAGAGAAGGGAAGCATAAAGAGATACGCCTGACATTTGGT